GCAGAAACTCAAGAAAAAGTAAAAAAAAAATTTTTTTTCTTACCCAAACTTTTTCCTATACTTTTTTTTATTTTTTTTATTTTATTTAATTTTTGGGAGACCAACAGCTCATAAAAACAGACATAGTTGAATAAAAATTTGTAACAGACGGCCAATTACGTTTAAAAAACAGAAATCTTTATACTTTAACATATAAAATTAAAAACCTATTTTATTTCACCCCTTCATGTTTTATTTTAGGACAAAAGTTGCGTATGTTCTTTTCCAAGTTCCCAATAACATACTGAATAATATTTAACAAATTATTAAATATTAAAATTATTGAACTGTACCAGTACCTGTATATATTATGGTTTACAAAAAACGATGAAATGGAGTCTAATAAAAGTTTTTTGATATTTCCTTACGAAGTTTCCAATAATATTTAAATTTAATAGGAAATATGGCGCCACCATTTGGTTGTCAGCTTTTATTTGAAACACTGTATCTATTCGCATAATAGCAGTTACTATTTCGGGCTAACGTTAGGAAAGGCAATCTAAAGTATTTTAGGTAACCAATACCCTTCGTTTGCTAAATGACGTAAACACTAACAGTCTTATAGCCGTTTTATATTACCGCAGGGGTCGTTTCTAGGTTACATCGTGTATATACCCTGTATATTTAATGTATAAAGTGCCTAAGTAGTATTAATGCGGGACCTTACTATCAAAATAAATTAAAACCTCAGTATTTTTGTCAAATCACAAATTCTATAACATAATGTAATATGGCATATCAAGATGTTTGTGTTTTGAATAAATAAGACAAGCCATAAGTATACTATCAAAGGAAACATAATAAATATATTTTGGTTCAGTTTCTTACAGACACTCATATTTGACTGACCAATTTCTGTAGTCCACACATAAAATTAAGCAATTTTACAAAAAGTCCATTTAATTCAGCTTATTCACAGAACAATCATATTTTATAATATTGTTAATTGAACTTATTCACAGAACAGACATAAATAATGCCAAAATATAGTACTAAAACAAAATATATTTAAGAGAACATTAATAGCAAGCTTTAGTTGCTTCAATTTTAATTGTATGATAGAAAAGAAAAGAAACAAAAAACATTACACACCCTACCCTACCCCATACAAAATTCTGGTACAGAACTTCGTTTGTGATCTTACTCGCTCTAGCGCAATTTGTACTTCTTCGACATTAGTTCTAATTTCTTGATAAACTACTCTAGGGTCGTTAGGCATTACATTAAATTGGATGCTAGCAGCGAGTCAGTCAAGGTTAAGGTCATGACATGTAAAGCGGCAGGTAGATATCGGTGTCGAATAATCGAGATTTTATCCGTTTCAAATTCTTTATTGGAACACGAGAGTCGGATGTTCGAGAGGTGAGCGATGGTCTGACTATAGGTAAACCGCATAACTGAGACCTCGCCTGCGGGGTACAGGGTGTGGGGGAGGACGAGAACCGGGGCCGGGGGTGAGATGTGAGCGGCGGCCACTTGTAATTTTGACAAGAATGTGTCTGCCGCCCGCCATAGTCCCCGTTTTCGCCCTCCCCCACACCCTTTACCCCGCAGGCGAGGTCCAGTTAAGCGGTCTACTTTTAATTGATAAAACATACTTTTTGTCTGGAAAGCAGATAGGTGAACGGAGACCTCTCTTGGGATCTTAGACTACTGTTGTGGATTGTATTAATGAAGATGGGGCGGATTCACAATTCTGGCGCCCCGGTCTACTTGCGATTTGCCCTCCTCCTCGAACTAAATAAAAATATACCAAATATCAGTTATTCAGTCTAGGCTGTTACAGGCACTTGTGAAAGTTGAGAAGTTACGCCATCGGTTCGCAAAACTACGGCGGGAGACCTTTTACTGAGAAGAACTGACAAGAAACTTAGCACGGGCTGCTTTTTTTCTCCCTGTATTATTATGTGTATATACAGTGTCGTCCAGTTGAAAAATGACTTCAGAGATAATTCTGAAGTCACTTTCCATTAAATAGTTAATATAGCTATATACAAAAAGTTGAATAGTGAGCATTTTTAGTAGGTATATAGGTAGCGGCTTCAAGATACCACGTTATTGTTGTAGAAAAAACATTATAAGAAACAATATGTCCACGCATCAGAATATAAGTGAGCAATGAATGCCTTTATATAAAGCTCTGCCGCCCCTCGCAGCTTTTGCAGCCGCGGCCAAAGCCCTCTTGGCCCTAGGGAAAATAAGTCCTCACGCGGTGAAGTCCTTTAACGGGGATCTCGCGGTTAAACACTTAACAGCGTATTCGCAGGGTTTTTTAGCGGATAGGGTGCCGTAAGCGCTTGTAAGCCGTGCGGACTGCATAACGGCGTTTGGCACCCGCAAGACTTGCGAGAGGCTGGTGTGAGGTGTGAGGTCTGTTCGTTGGTATGCACCTTAAGGGCGCCAACGTCTGTCAAAAGAGGTTTTTCCTGCGTAAAAAAGGGTAATTGCGCCCTGATGAAGGTACGGAACATAAAGATAGAAGAACCATTTATGGTAACAATGGTAGAGAAACGAGTTATTATATGAAAATTTATCAAAAGAACCCTAAAGAGAAATTAGGTATGACCTGGAATAAAATGAGAAGGACAGGCGAATGATAACAAAACTAGCAAACCTGTGAACCAAATGTTCACCAAAAAAAAAAAAGTATTTAATTAATTGAGAACTTCGGAGATCTTGTGTGGTTTCGTTTGAAATAGAAATCACGTGATTTCTCGAAAACCGGAAGTGCTACGTTACTCACATCCGGTTTGTAGTCTTATCAGACTATTCTTAACTTATAACTTAAACATTCTCTATATCTATCTCTTACGGTTTGGCCGCTGAAACAGCACCACGGACGGACGGACGGACGGACGGACGGACGGACGGACTTGTCTAATAGATAAGAGATACCGGTTAACGCCACTGTCTGGTCTAGCCTAGAGTCACGTGTTAAGTATACCTTCCTAGTTTTACTTATCATAAGAAGATTATGATTAAGATCTAAAAATAGTTTTCTAGTAAGTAGGCGCTTCGCGGCTTCTCACTGAATACGTCATCCACTGACAGAAGCCTTCATAAAAATTAAATCATTTTTTTTCAGTAGAGATTAATATGCACAATCATAATCTTTTTCGTTTCATATTGTGATACCTCATTTTAAATTTAAGATCCTATGTACCAACAAATAGGATCTTAAATTTAAAATGAGTTATCACAACCAAAGATTTAAATCGTCAACATGCACCCTTCAAGGGCATTGCAAAAAATATCTTAGTGCCTGTTTATAGTTGGTCGGTGGTTGGTTGGTAGTTGTTTATTAGAAACATAATTTGTCTGATACTAAATGGTAAGAGCTTGAGTGGATAAGAGTAATTATTACGTAAATAAAATAATTTTATTTCGATTGGGTTTTAAGTTATGATGTAAATTTTCAATGAATGACGCTACATGTATTAAAACAGAGAAAAAAGGCATCCCTTGCTGAGTTCCTTCAAATGCTTTTCATTACAAGGTAACTCGGCGTAGACTTGCGAACGGGTACCGTAGCTTTTTAAATTTTATAACAACTCGTAACAGCCTAACGAAATTCTATGTCCATGGCCTAAACTGAACAAATGAGTTTGAGTAACATTAATTTATTTTTATATAACGCCCACATATATTCTGACAAGGTAATTTTCTAAATTTTTTGTGAAAGGATTATAATAACTTTTTGTCTAGCAATTGCCGGTCATTACTGTGCTTTGTTCTACCTGAGGTTGTACCATCGAAGCTACCATCGAACAATGGTAGCATATTATATGTGCCATTACCGTTACACCGCTCAGGCGATGGCACCTGAATATTGATTATGCGTTTTAAGCCATAAAACAGCAAGTGGGCTTTGCTTGATAAATATTTTTTAAACCTTAATAGATGCGTAGGTATTTGTTTCTTAGGTTTTCACGCACATCACTCATTAAATAAAACTAGTTTTTACGGGTTAATGCACGAAACTTTATTTATTTATTGACGTTTCGCAGCCTTTTCAGGTCTGCATCGTCAGAATAATGATTTTATTTAAAATTGTCGAGCTACCTTCGAAAGAATTATATTGTGCGTTCGGTTATTTCATTGGAAGATTTTTAAAATTTTTATTGTCTATGTATGAATTTATTATTTAATTTACTTACTAAAGTATTTTATTTAAAATTCTTGTTTGTAATTTTGAGTTTATTTATTTGACCCTAACTACCGTAAACTACCACCGGTTCCAAAATTGGGAGACCTTCCTGAGAAGAACCGGCGAAACAAACTCAAGAGAGGCTTTCTATCTCCTTCTTATGTTAAATTATGCAAACAAAAAGAACTAATAGTATCTGATGGTCTTGCAGTGTGTGCTCGGGGTTGGGATTTTATCTCCTGTATAATAGGTTCCCAAGCTGGTGGTATATACCAACCATCTTCCCTATTGAAATTTGGATATTTTTTAATCTCAATAGCCTCGCGCATCATTCGAGGAACGAAGCTGAGCGGCGGTTCGCGGTGAGCGGTGGTAGTTTACGGTAGTTAGGGTCAAATAAATAAACTCAAAATTACAAACAAGAATTTTAAATAAAATACTTTAGTAAGTAAATTAAATAATAAATTCATACATAGACAATAAAAATTTTAAAAATCTTCCAATGAAATAACCGAACGCACAATATAATTCTTTCGAAGGTAGCTCGACAATTTTAAATAAAATCATTATTCTGACGATGCAGATCTGAAAAGGCTGCGAAACGTCAATAAATAAATAAAGTTTCGTGCATTAACCCGTAAAAACTAGTTTTATTTAGATGCGTAGGTATTATTTTACTAGATAAAATCAATTCTGATACCTCGACTGAGTCGAAGAGTTGTTTGACTCTAGTTGAACCGACCCCCTCGGGTTCGAGTGGTCCCACAGTGGGGAGATGCCATCCGCCTGAAATACCTCTAGAGGCTCGCCAGTTCTCGGCTTGAGGTCCCCTTAGGATCTCGCCGTCCCCTAAGCTGGTGACGCTTTAAAGGTTACTGCGACCAACAGCATACATGCTCAAAAAGAAATTATAATCATTCGTACTTATTTAAAAATAAATAATATAACAATTGAATATCGAATTCAATTTGAGTTGAGACGCAGTTTGACCTTTTTATTTAGGTTTGTAGTTGTTTGTAGTGTTGTAGTTGGGACATACAGTTTAATATTAATTATGTTTTTTTTTTATTTCCGATACAGAAATTAAAGACTACTGCTCAAATGTATTGTGTGTACGACAGGCAACTACGGATCCCTTGGCTTCGCATTTGGCCGGTTTTTACAAATAAAAACTTTTACTGCGCAAGTTCATTTGTCTGTGGTTATGCTCAAGAAGTTTGCCGCTATATTAACCAATTCAAGGTTTCGGATTTTATTCCCAATTGAGTCGTCGTTGTATTAATAAAAGAAAACTTTTAACTTGTTAATTATCATGTATATACATATATATTTTAGAATTTATTTCGTAATAACATGGGAGACTTACTTAAGCACATGCTCAATGTGTAAGCAATTGACGTAGGTCACACCTACTGAAGTTACACACACGCATAATACATTGAATGGTAACGTGGGATGAAGTGCTTAATTAGGCGTCACCTATCTATGTGAATCATAATCACAACCGTGTCACAATCACAACTTACAAAAATCTGTGCCAAAATAAAAAAATATATCATACAAATATCATTGTGCTTTTTATAAAGGTAATTTGTTAAAAAAATTGTATGAAAACATATGACAAATAATATAAAACAATATCAAATTCATCAGATAAAATTAATCAGATAATTCAATTATTTTAAATTATTCAATGCCGTCCAAATTGAGACGACATAGTTACAAAGCGTGTGCTTGTCTATGGACACAGAAATACAGATCTTACTAACATCAATAGAAAACATTGATTTTCGTGCACAGTCAGTCGTCTTTAGACTTTTTCACAGGTTAGGTTTCAAGCTTATGGGGAGCGTGAACGGCCATATTAGTAAACACATCTCAAGACAAACCGTGATCGCTCTATTTGGGCACTTAAATAAAAGAAGTGACCTCCAAGCGAAGTCAATCTTAAAATTTGTTTACATTACGGACTGCAACAACGAGCACGAACGGACCTTTCAAAAAGTTAGATAAAAACCAATATTGACACGATTCTTTTGTTTGAACGTAATGCTATGAGACGCTCAAATTCCTCCAACGCTGACGCTGTCCTTGTTAACTGATTTCAACAAAAAAATGGCTAAGTTGGTTTAAAAATAAATAATCCTGTTTCCTTGTGACCTTTAATATTGACGTGTTACACGAATCGAAACTATAAAATACTTTTAATTGTTTGTCGTTACGTTAATTTATTTTAGTTTCACTTGTTTCGGTTTTATATAAGTATTATACTATGAGATAAGAGAGGTACTCGACAGTTTTAATAAATGAGATGAATTTATTTATATGGCAACAAATCTTGTTACACTTTCCGAAGAGCAAGTAAAATTCTTGCTTTAGCTACTTATCAAAAACTTTTTAGCCTCTGCGTAGAAAGACGCTTCTGGCATAGATTTATAAAAAATGTTTTGTTCTCACTGAGTTTATCATTTTCATTACCTCTAGGAACACTGGTATGCTATAAGGAAATAGTTACTGATGTGCGTTGCAACCTTTTTTCCTGGCAACCTTTTTCGAAATGTCTCGTCCGTGTCGTGTCGTGGGCCGTTGGGATTTAGACGGTGCGTATCGAGGGCGACGGACTTATTAGCAAATACCATTTTATTACCTGAGTTCGCATGTATAAAGGCGTTGTTACTGGCAAGTTATAAGTCCCATTTAACTTATAGAAGTCGCTCTGCAAAAGAAAATATCCCACTGAAAATATGAAAATATATATTTATATCCAGTGATTTTCGTATGTCACTATATTTTACTATTACCGAACACACTTTACTTAGTTTGTACTTAAAATTACTTATCGATGTACTTAGGACTTAAAATTATTATTGTTACATGTCACTGTTCCAAACAAAATGAAAAGAGACATATAGTTAGTTACTTATTCAATCAAAAAAAAATGGTTGCCTGTAAAGTCGGTTTTACGGGCGAAGATTTTACGTGACAACGTCTTTTTCTCGGTAGAATATTTATTGATATGAATATAATTAAATTGCACAATAGGAACAAGGAATTGAATGAAAATAAGAATTGCACAAATTTTAACTATAGAAATATATTTTGTTTACTAAAACATTGTACATGTAAACTTAAACTTAACACGAGAGACTCATCGTAACGTTACCGAGCGTTACACTTTTTCATAAGTGACTCCCAGCCGCAACCTAATTTAAGACGTTGTCACGTCAATAAAAAAATCGTTGATTTACATTATTTCATGATCGGTTCAAAATCATTGAAAGATTTAATGTATGGTAGAGAAAACATAATTTAACCAATCACATTACACATTAAGATAATAAAAAAACGGCGAACCTTACAGTAGTCGCGTATGATGTGTAACATTTGAAAACCTTACCTTATATTAGTAAAAAAAGAAATAAAACCTACTACAAAAGGAATAAACCATTTGAACATTATGTTCTAAAATCAAATCAAATAACGCACGCTTTCGCGACTTCCTGTTACACACTTTCGTCCCATTTCACGAAATCCCTCCCGCAAATTGAAGGAAAGCGAGAGGAAAGATGATACACTTAAAAAAAAAGTTAAAATAAATGGATATCTCGGGTAAAGCATAACTTAAAAAAGTTAGTAAGTAATACGTATTAAAACCGGTTGAAAATATAAACACATCTATTCATAGATGCAACATTAATGCATAATGAATACAGAAACTCTTTATAAGTATCAAATTTCTTCTTTAGACTAATGATCCGTGAACTTATCTTGCCTACATACAAAGCGACAATAATATTATTTTTACAGTAATGGTCTTGGTTTTATGCTGGTCTACTTCACAATGACTATGAGTACGTTAGTCTCAATCATCTGAAGCGAACTGTCAAACGAATTAGTTGCGGTAACCTCATTGCTTAATGTTTGTTTATCATGCAATAGAGTTGATGATAGGGTAAACGAAATACCATTTTCATAGTCCGTCAGTTATATTATCAAAAAAAATAATGGACACTTATTTTTTTGTCAATCAACCAAAAATGAAGGGCGTCCAAGCTAGGGAGTGGGGGCTAGTGACGTCACTATTTTGTTGCACGAAAAGGTGACGTCCTGCGACATTTTAAATCAATATATCTCTGTTTTATTTATATGTGAAAAAATAAAAAATAGGTATCCAAACTTTATGACCTACCTTATACTTAGCTGAAAAAATACATTAGTGTGCACGGACCACACATCCGAAGTAAAACTTCTTGTCTTAAATAACCTAACATTAGGCGGTCGGTGCATAAGGCATAGGGGAATGAAGCAGCGCACGCATCACTCATATATATATATGTATATATATTGTTTGTGACGCTCGTAGCGTTTCAGCCCCCGCCGAGTTACCCTCCACCAACTTTTACAGTCGTTGGAAAGAGCTGCGTACACATCCCAAACACACACACACACACACATATATATATATACGCGCCCATATATATAGTCGTGTGACGCTCGTGACGCATTTCCGTTTCATCTTTTCCATAGTTTTTTTTCCATTTACACCCGTCCCAAAAGAAGTTTCAATTTAAGAAAGTAAGTCATCATCTCTAATCTTATAATAATGTTAAAGTTTACACTTCCTCATTCTACTTACTCTCTTTCATTATCCAGTCAGCTAGAAATTTTTCATTAAAATCGTTTACGCAGTATTGAGAACTTTCATTACATTAAGCTTATCTATTAAACAGTTATAATCATAAAGTTGATATATGTAGTAAATTAAGTTTATGGTTATAATACGACACAAATAACATATCTATGTTAAGATCATAGTTTAAGTTTTTAGGCACATGACTCCGACGTATAGTTCTACATGTTATTTTCCTCAGAACTAAAATGCCATATTTCAATGAAAAAATATTTGTGCGTGCTTCTGTGATTTCTCAACTTATTAGTGTTTTTCTTATGTTCTTTGCGACATTACAATTGAATTTTTTATTACTCGTTGTCCTTCTTAGTTTTGTGTATTTTGTTATAAACAATAATATGTGCCTGTATTCTGATGTACAGTTTTGTAATTCAGCATTACATTTCAGTTAATTTTTGAAACATTGAATCGTAAACCACTCATATCATCTTGCCTAACATCCGATCTGAATACCAAACTAGTTTTTTCTTACAAAACTGAAGGATTCATGTAAAATAATATTATAATTTGACAGTTTATTTGAATATAAGAAATTAATATACTTCGTATTACAAATTAAAAACAAAAACAATATTTCATACACAAATGAATCGGTTGTTACACAATTTTTGAATTTGACAGTGGATAATCTTATATAGATATTTCTAGATCTCATAGTCTCAGTATTATAAATCTTATGTCTATGCATCATAATTTAAATTTTTGTTAAGCTCCTAGAAGTAACCGAGGAAACATAAGTTTTTCATAAAACTGTATTTGTGTATCCAGCGTTTTGCCAGTATTGTATAAGAAAGCACTAATAGGTGTTATAGTGCCATTCATCCTTAATTTTCTCAAACTTGCATGAAGGCTAAGTAAGAATAAGGTAGGTTAGGTAATTGTGTATACAAAAGAGAAAGCGTCACAGCATTTTATAGTTGTATTAGGTTTTCTGGTATATACTTACGCTACGGCCACACTATCGCGCTCTCGCGAACATTTTCCGTTTTGACAACAAATCTGGCCAAGCAATAGCCACATTTCAGAACATGGTCGGAAAGATGACTATTGTTTGGTAAGATGCTTCGTAAAAACAGAAAATGTTCGCGTTATCGCGATAGTGTGGCTACAGCATTACACCTCCGGTATATTTTTATATTTAGATAGCCAAGAATTTTTGTACTAATATACAATAAACCATACAAATAAGTCATACAGTCTGCAGCGTGCTTAAGCAACCATTTATAGACACTTTTGTTCTCCACGGACAAAGCCAATAAGGAGACAAATCTCATTTGTAAATTCACCTCAGTCGTAGTCTAACTTAAACTCTATGATTCTATAACTCAAACACAATGATTAATATCTCTGACTCACCTCTTGGTAAAACACCCGTTTGGAGTTGTAAGTCAAGTTGTATTGTTGGTCTGCGACCATCACCAGAATCGTGAACGGCAGCAAGAACGCGGCCGCGGCGAGGAATGCGATGCACCTTCCCAGGCGCATCATACTTATGTTCCTTCTTAACCCCATTCTTGTCATTTTGCACTCACTGATTTGTTCCCATTTGTTTTTCACTTTACACGATTTTGTTATATTTCATTTGTTTTCACTTTACTCGGATCTTTAAACAACTGACGGCGCCGGTAAAAAAATGAGAAATGACTTTCGTGAACAATTTCATTCGGACAATCGTTACTAAAGCCATTAACTAAATACTTTTTAATGTTGTTATAATTAATCAATGTTCCTTGAGACCATAGTTGGTAAACTTTTAATGCTAGAACGTTTAAAAGGTTTCGACTTATATAAAATAAAGTCGCTCCCGTTATCTGTACGCTTAGAACTGGGGGCATGGTACTACCCCCGCCAAGACGACCCAAGCGAAGCGCGATCGAGGTCACAAACTCTACACTCATCAAGTGGCTTGGGCGTTTCGTCATTACAAGAACTATTGTATCAGAAAAGTAATGAACAGTGCAGAAATTTTTCACCTGCTGCCTATCTGAATGAAACGAAATGTCTAAGCCACATGAACGAACGTTATTATAAAAAAAGCTATCTAAAAGATGACGGATCCCAGTGCTCGGTAAATCCTACATAGTTTTTTGTAGCTTGGGCCCTGTAGAGTCATCAGGGCATGACTTCGGCCTACACGAGCATAGTTTTTCAAGCTATATCCTAGCAAGCTAATTCTCTACAAAACTGTTCTGGCTTGCTGCCTGGCTTGGAACATGCTAGTTCTGTTTACATGAGGCTAGTTTATTTGAAGTACTATTGCAGTGACAGAATTGACCACGTGTCCAAACGACTCCCCGGATACCAAGCCCAATATACCTACTTATTTTATTTTAGTGGTTAGCTATTTGTTATTTATTCAGGGTTCATGTCTGTATGTATGTACAAAAAGTCATTATTTATTCTACTATAACTTCTTACCGCTTGAACCAAGTTTCACCATTCTGAATAACATAAGTTACCTAAACTGTTAATTTAGGTAACTTATGTTAATTGAAAATAAAATAAAATAACAGCAATGTCAAAATGTCAATTATTTATGTCAATAAAAAAGTCTAATTATTACAATATAGGTATAATTTGACCATATTAAATATAGTAACATTAATTAACAAGAGATCTGTTAACTTTTTGTCAGTGCGAGTCATATTGTCTCGTCTTGGCAACATTTTACATGAAAATGTTTTTGGTGGGATCTTTTATATTACGTAACGTATTTTAATGCAGTAGACAGAATAATTCACGTGGAATGTTTATACATTTTTATATTATCTAAAAAAACTATAGTTTTCACCGAAGCGGAGCGAAAGCGGTTCTCTAATAAAATTAATAAAAGTGTATTAACGATTGTCAGTGGTTATTATGTGTGTTTATTAACAAAACTAAGTTATGAAAATATTGATCTCATTGTGGAAACGGGTTGTTACAATAATGTAAGAAGCATACAATTTAATCTGCGGAAACGGATGTTGGTGATTTCAATCAATAATTTGAATCCTCATTAGAAGTGAATTATTCAATTGTTGTCCGTCTCATCGCCGTACATTATGGCTAATTGACTACCGTTTTGTACCTTGTCATTTCCTAATTGATTGTTCATTTTTTTCTAAATTTTGTAAAGCCGAGGCCACAATAGCTGAACATGAGCCTATTACTAACGTTCCAGCTGTAAGGCTGGTCAATCACGTGGTCACACAACAACATTTTTGGGTACGCGTGACTTTTTATTGCTTTGTTTAAGTGGATCTACTGAAGTGGCCTTGACTGTAAAAATCAATTTCGTAATTTTTGTCTTTATCGTTCGTAATGTGGAGGATGATGATGAGGATGAACTCATTGAAAACAATGAGAAATGTTGCCTGCATTCTATTTGCAAATATTCTAGGCTAATCTATTAGTTTAATCAATTAATTCCTAGCATCTTCTGTGTTTCATCCTTTGTTTAGGTTCCGTTAACGTTGTAGGAGAAGAATTTTATAAACTCTATTTAAAGAAAAATACTAGAAAAAAATCTCAATCCAGGCATCAGACAGGGCTCGAACCAGCACCTACCACTATCCGTGCGGACGCACTAACCATTTATGCTATGTTAATAAGGATAATTTTCATAGTTAAATGCTTTAAAATTTAATAAAAACTATGCTTCAAAAATACACAAGCGCATTCTTTAAGAAAAAAAACGACGGGTTGCACTCCGGGAGTGCCGTCAGAACTGAAAACTTGAATATTAACGTTGTGCATTGCTCTCAGAAAAATCACTTTACATGAATCACGTTTAAGCGCACTTAGCGACATCTATTGTAAAGAAATCAACTTACATGAATCACATTTAAGCGCACCTAGCGACATCTATTGTAAAAAAATACATTTTCTTCGCAATAAAGCTGCCACGTGGACGTCCTAGATAGAGACTTATTATTATAATACGGTAAAATAAAATATTACTATGTTTCGTCCAATATATTGAAAGTCAACAACCTTTCCAATTTTATTGTGTGTCATAATGCGATCAGCCCACGTGTTTAACCTGACGCGAGTTTAATATATTTTACCCATACAAAAAAAGGGTACAACGGCGCTAAAGAGGTTTTCACTTCAAAAATAAAACACTAAAGAGCTTAATAGGAATACTGTATTATTTTCAACAGAGGTGAAACTCGATTTAGGAAAAAGTATACCTAAGTATTTACAGGAAGATACCTAATGAATTCTCAAAAACAATCCCGAACGAAACGAAAAGGTTCGTGGAATTTAATTTTTCAGAGATTACACTGTATTGTGCGCCCTGGCTGAAATTGGTTTTCGGAATTGAGTAGGTGCTCTGTTGCTCCGATGTCTGTTTCAAAGGAATTATGTATAGACAACTAAAAATATAAGGTCTAGTTCAGTAAACTTACAAAAGTTTACTGAACTAGACCTAATATTTTCATAATTCATACACACCTACCTTTCCGTTGGCAGAGCAAAAGTTTTTTTTAATGCTTTTTGAACTTGTATAAAGCACATTTATATATACAGTAGGGATGCTCTTTGGTGTTAACAGTGTTTTATTTATCTGTGTTATGTTTACAGTTTTTTCAGAAAACACCACTCCCGTTAACAGGACTCTACAATCTGCAGCTAGCGTATTACGTATTCTTGTTGCTCTAAGTCCAGCTTCGAAGTTAAGTGCGAATTAACTTTCATTATAAGAATTATTACTTCTGTATAGATTTATCGGCGTTATCATCATTTAAAACTAACCATTCAGACTAGCCATATAGAAAGACTAAGAAAAGTTATAATTAAACTATAATCTAATATAATACAGTTATTTTTTATGGAAATAGCAAAAAGTTTAGTTGATATCACAGGAGATCGAAGAGCTGGCAGCTACCTCGGACAAAGAATTAGTCTAGCTATGCAAAGGGGGAACGCTGCCAGTATCTTTGGAACCTTGCCTAAAGGGACACCTTTTAATAATATATTTGAAATATTAACTGTAAGGTGCAAATTGTAAAACTTATGCTAATACAGTTATTAAATAGTAAAATGTGTATTGACCACCAGATTGAATCTCATCTAACCAGGAATGCGATATTCAGCAATTTTCCTATTTTCCCAGATCATATTCATACCAAACCAATAAAATAAGTATCTATGAATACTTTAAGTTAAAAGTGGAGTTTATACTTTAAAATAATTGCACTGTGTACATCTCGATTGTTGTTACCAAGCGTATTTCATGCCATTTTAAGTGTGCAAGTGTTGCTCCTATCTTTAAATGTACCCTGTACGAGTTTAGTAAAATGCAAAAGTTTTGGTGTCACCCGGTAATATTTTTTTATTTGTTTATAATGTATTAAACAGGTTTGGGAAAAAGTGGCTTTGTTATTCCACTGAGTTTGAATTTAAGCCTCCTAACATGACCGTTGCACATGACAATTATGAAGCAAATAATTGACAATAACCTGTTCAAGTTAACTAAGATGTTGATAATCTGTACTTATCTATGTATCTATGATAGTCTACTCTTATAGACTTACAAATTCTAGTAAATTAAATGAAAAAAAAGCTACGCAAACTTTTATGTACGAGTATCAAGGTATATTGGGTACAATTTCAAATTTAAACCCACTTTATACTAAAACAGACGTATCACATATCGCAAGTATTCACAATTCAAAAGAATTAGAAGCAAATTGTTTAGTTTCGAAAATAGAAAAGGAAATAGGTGTCTGTTAGAATAGGTATTCAGTAATTGCAGCGTCGGTTCCAATAGACATAATGTCGCCACTCAAACATGCTGGCCCGGCTTCTAGTAATAGCTAATAGCTGGCTAAACGTCGCACACTCGAACACAATCTGTGGTCACGATTGGATCTTGGCAGTGTCCCTATTGCTTTGTTATAAGAGCTACATTTGCAGTGCTAATGTGCGTGCACCGGATTCAGTTGTACATATAACTAACTACAGAATACAAGCAATTAAGAGTCATTTACACGACATAATATGTATTTGAAGTGAATCATAAATAATATGAAGTAATTAAATTTAATTAAAATTAACAATATTTTTTATTCAGCAATTAAATACTCCCGCTGGTTATTTAACCAAAATTCATGTATATACATTACAGTTCCCAAAAATCTCAGTGAGAACTAGTTTTTGACATCTTATGCTGAAAATTAGCTGCCAGCTTTATTTAAAGGGATACGTTTTGCTTAAAATTACTTTTTATCTTAAAAATAATGCGGCTTACTAAATCCTATATACTTACTAACATGTGAAAGTTTGTATGTTTGATACTCAATCACGCAAAACTACTGAACGCATTTGGATGAAATTTGGTACGCATATAGTTTATGACCTGGATTGAGACAGGATATTTTTACTAAATCCTATATACTTACTAACATGTGAAAGTTTGTATGTTTGATACTCAATCACGCAAAACTACTGAACGCATTTGGATGAAAGGAGATTGTTCAAATTGGCCTAAATGCACAAAA